TTCCTCAGTTAAATAAAAGAATTTAATTAATTTCTATAGCCTTTTTGTCAATACATTAAAGATTTTTTAACTAATTACTCGTCCTCGCTTGCAATTAGAACCATCATTAAATCCTTATTTTATCTAATCATTTCCTGAACATTATCATGTATATAGATTGGCCTCGTCTTTGTAACTGATAATTATTACTTGCAAATTACTCTCTTGCTGGTCAACTATTAACAATCCTTGCTATTGCAGAGTTAGGGTTAACAACCTTCGCTTTCGCTACCGCCTGCCCACGGAGTATAATGCCTTACTCCGTGCGCCTGCCTTACGGAAATCGGCATAAAATGCTGGTACCCGAGTTGATTGTGCGCATGCGTGAACGTAGGTGGTGTGAATAGCCTCTTAGCTAATCGCACCGTCGATGCGATTAGCCACTGCGGTGGAATTTTTTATAACCAGGCAAAGAATTCGATAATTTCACAGAAATTAACAAGTTTATGAACAGAACGTTAACATAAGCCAATTCAATTCAAAAAAACTTCTTTTCTTTTATTCAGGAATTATTAGAGTTTTTGATGCGGATACTTCAATTAAATAAGGCCTTATTTCGTAATAGTAGTCCATATTATGTGCTTCGCAAATCGAAACAATTCGACAATCACATATCAGAGAAATTTTGTAACTTATAGGAACGCGATTGTCTCTAAAATAACTTATAATAGAGTAATAACAATAACTTATAAAAATACTTGAGTACTCTAAAATAACAATAACTTATAACAGAGTAATTTTGTAACTTAAAGGAACGCAATTGTCTCTAAAATAAAAACAACTCATTCATTAGATTAAGTCATTCATTTGCACTAACTTACTCCTTTATCTGCAATATGATATAAATTCGTTCATTATATTTAAGTATTCATTTACACTAATGTCCATAAATTAAGGATAACGCAAAATTAGGCAAAGGAAGAGTTAAAAGCAAAACCAATTTGACTTATTCGTAAAGCTTATTTATTAAACATAAGGTAAAGAGCAAAAAAAAAGATGCTATATGTTTGATATTATTAAAAAAATTAGCGATTTTTTCTCCCTTGAGCAAATTACAAGAAAAAAAAACTATTTACAAAAAACCAATATTACATGGTTGGTATGATTGTTAATACATTGTATGTCTCCCAGACGATTCAATACAGTCCGTACAACACCTAGGCATGCTGAGTATCAAATTATCGATCTGATCTTGGGGGATATTACACCACTCAAAAAGCAATGCTCTCCGAAGTTCCGGTAGACATGTAGGAGGAGGTTGACGGGCTGCAACTCGTCGGCCAAGCATATCCCACACGTACTCTACTGGATTCAAGTCCGGTGAGAATGCTGTCCATACGGGTCCATACGGGTGATATCCTCCGATTGAAGGCATTCGCTTACGAAGTTTGCACGGTGAGAATGGGCGTTGTCATCTATAAACACTAATTGTGCGCCCATAGCGCCCCGAAACAAACGTACATGTTGTTCCAGAATGACGACCCGATAGATTTGGCGTGTCATGATTCCAATTTGAACATGCAGGTCAGTTCTGGAACCCAGAATGATTCCACCCCAAACGAGCACTCCTGCACCATCGTAACGGTGTCGTTCAATGATGTTTTCATGATGGTAACGGGTACCTGGAGCTCTCCATATGAAAGTCCGGCGAGAATCAGACTGCAAACTAAACCTGGACTCGTCGGAAAACATCACATAAGCCCACTGTTGCGGTGCCCACAATGCATGCTCTCTCCTCCAGGCTAACCACAGGCGACAGTAAGTCGCAGTAAGTGGAACGCATCTGACAGGTCTACGAGCATATAGACCAATCTGCCCTAAGCGTGCGTACACGGTCTGCCTTGAAATTGTCGTACCAGTAGCTGAAGAGAGCTGACGAGACAGGTCTGAGGCTGTGCTCCGCCTGTTTCTTTTGGCAGTAACTGCCAAATACCGGTCCTCATTCGGCGTTATAACTCTGGGGCGACCTGTGCTGTAACGTCTACTCACATTACCATCATCTTGGAATCGTTGCCAAAGCCTGGAGATGACACTCTGGGCAATTCCAAGTTCGTCTGATACTTCCAGTTGGGTACGCCCACATTCCAGACGGCCGATTATTCTACCACGTAAAAAATCATCCAAATGCGTCCTTTGTATCATAACTATTCAGTTATTGCACTGAAATCCTTATAAAGCGCCTGCGAACAATTTTACTTCTTTGCCTGTATTCCTTGTACATCACTCTCTTACACTCTCGTGATTGTGACGTACCATCGGTGTCATCTGGTTACTTCCCTGAAATTTGCATATGATTCTTGAAGATATGTGTAGTGATTTTACAGGTGATATATTTATTTTAGAGTTCGATTTCCGCTTGACTCCGAATTATCCTTAATTTATGGACATGAGTGTATATCAACTCATATACTTATCACTGATCACCAATTCCTTGCCACGCTTAAGCTGGTTGCCGAATATATTAGCTCCTTAAAGCCCAGAAAAGCTCCTGGTGTTGATGGTATTTCTACCAAAGCGTCGAAACATCTTCCAATCAATGCCATCACTTGTTTTACTAAGATAATCAACTCTATCATCAAACTCTCTTACTTTCCTAATATATGGAAACATGCTATCATCGTCGTCTTCCCAAAACCGATTCAAAATTTAACGTTTCCCCAGAACTACCGTCCAGCCAGCCTTCTCGGTCAACTTTCTAAAATAGCTGAAAAAGTTATTCTTTATTATCTTAATCAAATTATTCCACAGAGCTCCTACATTCCAGAAGAACAGTTTGGCTTCCGTCATCTTCACAGTACTAATCACCAGCTGCTTCGTGTCATCAACTATATTACTGGTTTCAATTGTAAGTTCCCTACCGGAGCCATTTTCCTTGATATTGCGAAAGCTTTTCATATGGTATGGCACCGGGGACATATATACAAACTTATGAAGTTAAACTTCCCGATCATTGTATTAGACTTATTGCTTCCTATTTCCAAGACAGAATCTTTGCAGTGAAAATTGGCAGTTCTGTTTCTTTCACGAGAAAACTTTCGCTGGAGTGCCTCAAGGATTTGTGCTTTCTCCATATTTATATAACATTTACGTTCCTAAGGACCTAAGAATATTCCTAAGGATCCACAAATTACCATCGTTCTTTTCGCTGATGGTACTGCAATTATGACCCAAGCTTCTACTGTTACTGTTGTCCAGCTCCTTCTTCAACATTACCTCAATCATCTAAAAAATTGGCTCACTCTTTGGAGGACTGCAGTTAATACCGAAAAATCAAAAGCAATAATTTTTCGCAAAGGCCAAACAAATTTCACTCCACCTAGACATCTTCTGTTTGATGAAGAAATTGACTGGGTTGACAAAGTTAAATATCTGGAGTCATTCTTGATAAAAAATTGACTTTTCAGAAACATTTCAGGGAAACTGTGAAAAAAATCAATATCACGCTTGCAACTATGCGCCCACTTCTTGGCAGAAGAAATCATATGTTCGTTTCCAACAAATTCCTCTTATACAAATCTATACTTCGACCAGCATTATTCTATGCTAGTCCTCTCTGCGGGCCACGCTGTCCAAAACTCACCTTCACCCAAGTTCACCCACGCTGCCACCCAAGTCCTTCAAAGCAAAGCACTCAGAGAGATCATCAACGCGCCATGGTTCATTCCAAATTCGTATATCCACCGTGATCTCAAAGTTGATACAATTCAAGATTATAATCAAGAACTTGTCAGAAATTACTTCTATTCAGTTCTCACTCATCCTAACAACTGCATCATCTCTCTTAGAGGTTCTCCATTTCCCAAAGAAAAGCACAAATATATATCTGACATTCTCCCTCCTTAACATTTTTTACTTATACTAAATTCTTCAGTTCACTGATTCAGACTTTCGACCTGACACTCACCTTTTTCGTCGACTGATGGCGGCCACCTGACTTTTACTTTTCTCTTTTTGTTTTACTGATGTTCTTCACGTGATACAGAAAGGAGGCGCTGCTTTCTGAAACTCAAATTCATTATATTGTTACGAAATCTACAGGCGTGGTATGATGGCTTCCCCGCAAAGCAGTTTTCGGGTTGCCATAAAATGGCATAGAAAAACAGGGTCGCCACATTTGGCGAGAAATCGCCCATTTGGCAACACAATTGGCGATATGCCATGGACAGATGGAGAACCTTCTGGAACGAATTCTTACCGGTTTAGCCCAGAATGTCCTCGAACACAAGCAGAAAGCTATATAAACCCTGCTGGTCCGCTGTCAGAGAGTAAGTGTGCTTTATCGAGAGGGCAAGTGTGTGTGCCTCGTCTAGAGTGCGAGTTAGTTAGTATCAAGTTGGTGTCTCGTTTAGCGAGTCAATGCCTGCGGAGTCGATCAAGAGGACAGCCGGGCAGCGAGTGCCGAGTGGGTCCTCGAGTGCCATCGAAAGAGTCTCGTAGTGTATCGCGGTCAGTGCATCGTCGAGATAGCGCGTGTTGAGCTTCCGGGAACGACTGAACCGAAGAGTCGGAAGCCATGCTCTGATCGTGTTGTCATCGGGTGCATAGCGAGTTGTTAGCGTGGAGAGTCTCGAAAAGTACGTGGAGTTCCGAGAACGACCAAGCAGAAGTCAGGAAGCTGTACTCTAGTGCTTTGCCGTGAAGCTTATCTCCAACCGTGTGATAGTCCTGATAAACCTGGAGGCTGTGTCGTTGATCGTGTCAGGGTGTTTATAGTAGTTCATCGACGACTGTAAAAATGTGTTTTGGAGCTGTCCTGTCAATACTGGCTAATAATTCGATACTTCATCAAGTAGTGTCGTCAGTATTCACTCCAAATCCATACGAAGACCGCACGAATGTGAAGGTAGAAAAAAACATAACAACTGGTGTCGAAAAACAAAAACGCAACAATATGTTCTTAGCACTGATCAAGATTAGAGGAAGGTATAATCTATATAGTTTGTAATATGAACGTCTGGATCTGGCAACTTGTATCTGCGGCATGGTGTTTGTGCCGCAACAATGTAACTACTGTAAATATGTAAATACCGAATTTTATTATTTATATATTTTAATAAGCCTTACAAGTGCAAAATGGTACTACTGACATTTTCAAACATGTGTCGACACATGAATTTATTTAAATATCCTATTAGGACATCTTATTTTTTGACATGTGGTCAGTATAATGGTAAGTTTATAAAGATCTGTTTTCTTAATACTAATGAAATTTTTATTTTTCCAGACTTCCTTGTTATATATTCAATAAGAAGAGTAAGTTTTAAATATTATATTGCCTCTAAAAATACTTTTGTTTTGCGATTTGAACCAAAATTCATTTTAATAAAGTCATTATTTTCGTAACTTTGTCGAAAAGTACTTAATGCAGTGTTAAGTTTTATTAAATATAACCATCTTGTTTTTGAGGCAGGTTCTAATAAAAATTTTGAGATTTTAAATTGGGAAATTAGTTTATTTAATTCCTGGCATTAATTAAATATAATAGAAAGAAAATATTGCATCATTTATGACATTAACCGTGATGCAGTAATTCAGGGCATTATTACATCAGAATCTTAAACTATTTCATTATACACTACAGTAGGGATTCTAAACTGGTGGTACGCCAGGAAGCAAAGTATTTTTAACTCTTAAATTCAAAACCCCAACATCCTGATTGAGTTTTTTCTCTAACATTCGTAAATTTATGTGATCTGAGCTTTGTTCAAGAGTGGTGTGGTATTAGTATTTTGTAGTGGTGGTACTAAAAGTTTTCAATTTTTGTTCAGTTGGTATGCATTAGTCAAAAGGTTGAGAACCGCTGGGTTGAATCCTAGCAGAGCCCATACCCTTGGCACGCCCACCTATATGGCGTGTATCGATGTGTATATGGACAAAGTCAAGGCAGTGTGCAATGCCAAGTTTGTGCAATTCTGCGATGTTTTTTTAAGTGAAAATAGATCGATGTGCACATAGATACCGAGTTTATGCAATTCTTTTACTTGTTATTTTCAAGTTAGTGATTTTGAGAAACGTGCGAAGCAGTGGGCGATTCTGCACTTTCTAGTTTGTTGCCAAGGGTGTAAGCTGTCCTAGGATTTTACCAAACTGCTGCACTACAGCATCTCCATTATCATTATCAATGAACTTAATTTGAATAATTTAAGTTTGAAACACGCAATGTATTTAGAATCTCAAAATAGATGTTTAGAATTGTGTGCGTGTACTACTAAATATTTTTTTAAATTTTACTGTGGACAGCACCATGGCAGTGAGAGCCTTTGAAGTTTGAAATATTTACTCTTGCTGTCGAAATTTTAATTGCATTTTTACCAACTTTGAAGAGAAATTTTACATTATGCTCCATTAATAGATTGCTGTGTTTCTCAACGGCATACATTTAATGATTATCCCAGCAAAATAAAATTTATTCTGAACTTAAAAAATACTTTGATGTTCCTTCCCACCATTTTAAACAAGTATTGACAATTAAGAAAAATATCTGCTCAAAAATATAAACTACTATTTATTGTAAATTATAGTATTTTTATGGGAACTGTAGTTATTTTATAGGGAGACAACAAAAGAAGTGCAGTTAACTCTCCAATGATAAGGGTTATTCCAGAGACAATATGCACAATTAACTTAAAATCTGTACTTACATATTATTGCAACCATCTTGTCAAAAATCACCAAAGCTTCAGAATACACAATACTTTGGAAACCACGCATAACAATTATTCAGGCAGCCATGCATATGACAAACATTCAGTTCTGGACATCACTATTTCTATATGCCAGGGTTGGCCAAATTTCATGTCAGTAAGGCCCATATCACACGGCGTTTGTTTCAGACGAACAACTGTTTCGGACAATTTTTCTGCCTGGTTTACTATTGAAAGAAAGACGTGTGACTTTTTCCTGCCTTTCAAAAAAAAAAAAAAAAAAAAAAAAAAAAAAAAAATTGGGGTGATCTTTGGAATATGGTAACTGGTAGTTTGGCGACATTTTGGAGGCGATAAAGGTTACTACCTAGGACTTCGGTAATGATGTGAGAAGTACTCAGTTTCGATTACGCATTATTTTGTGTGAGGAAAATGAGAGATCGTGAGATATGTCATGTGACATTAATGGACGAATTACAGTTCTTTAATTGGTAAAGGGGGGAAATCTGGAAATTTTGTATTTAGCTTTATTCTGTGTTAAACAGTGTTGGTTAATTTTTGGATCCTATGGCCCTAACTAAAGTGAATTCGAAATGGGTATTTAGTGGGATTGAAAGGGGTAGTAATAAGTGTTTTTTTAAGGTTGTGCAAGATAGAGGTAAAGATTTCTTATTAAGTTTTATTAAACAGTATATTCTACTGGGTACAATAATCATATCTGATTGCGGGAAATCATATGCATGTTTGGAGGATGAAGGTTTTCAACATCTTGCTGTGAACCATAAATATTATTTTAAAGCTCTTTAAAAAGGTGCAGATACGAATACAATAGAGGGTACGTGGTGTGCTATAAAAAGCGCCATTCCGAGGCATTGTGATAAAGAGAATTTTGCTTTTTATTTAGCGGAGGAAGTATGGAGGAAAAATTCGCAGAAAAAATCTTTCAATAATTTTATTGAATGAATTAGAAAAGTGTATCCGCCACGTAATCAAGATTCTGAAGAAGATTAGGTAAGTTAGTATTTTTAGTTATTTGAGGATACAGTCAAAAGTTGTTAATTCGGACACCCATAATCTGGAATGATCTATAATCCGGACCTCAAAGCTAAAATCTTTCTGCGCATGCGCCACGTTGACGCATGCACATAGGCGTTTTACATGTGCGTGCAAGATATTTACGACTGCGCATATGGGTCTGCATAAGTGCAGAATACGTTTTCGCGTGCGCGTTTAATGTATAACGGACAGTATAAGCTAAAATTATCTAATTGTCTATTTCAGTTAATGTTGATGATTGCGTTGTTCCTTAATCTTCGAATTCGATCCGGCTTATTATTTTTTGCAGACTGAAAGAGCAATTTTATAAAAGTAAGCTTGAACTTTCAATTATGTCAAATAGAATTTCTGATGCTGGAGCTCCTGAAGGATCTAGAAAACGAAAGTATGCTTCGATGTCCATCAAACAAAAAGCGAATTGTTATGAAAAATGGATAAAGGCATATCCTTTGTTTATCTAACCGTTCCGAAATCTGTTTATCAATTTCACGCTGCTCTGTGCAGGGGGGGGGGTACGTCGCGGCGCGCAATGAACTGGAAGTTGATCTGTCTGTTTATCGTTATCTTCAGGGCAGATGTTTTTATTTTTTTCAGCTTATAATTCCTTACTAAATGTAGTATTTAATCTCGACGTACTCCGTCTTTGATATGATTTAAATCAAATTCCTCGTCATTATAAATATCACGAATACAAATCGAATAGTTTTCTGGTTGCAATTTTCTAATTTCGGCTATGCGTAAGGTATGCTTTACGCATGCGCACGTTGAAAGAAATGTTTAATAAAGTAAACAAATAAATATTAAGCTTCTTTTTTTTGTAAATTTTGATATCCTTTAGATCATAATTGCTCATTATTTTATAAATTACGTTTTCATATTTTAAATTTTATAATTTCTGCATGCCATCTTACCAGATTTAAACTGATGATTTATAATCCGGAAAAATCGATAATCCGGAATCGCCCGAAGTCCCGATGAGTCCGGATTAAAGACTTTTGACTGTATTATTTTTATGCATTGTTCTAAACGTAAGGAGTAAATAAAGTAATATGGTATTATTGGAAAATTGTTATTAGCAATGATTTAGTTTAAAGTAATTAGGATTGTAAGCTAATTTTTATTAATTTAATGTATGTGCTTATTTATATTTTAAGTAGTGTTTATGAATTTAATTATATTTTTAATTAAATGATAGTTATTTTGTGAATTATATGTTATATGTTTGTAGGAATTTGGTATACGTTTATATTGTATATTATATTTGGTAAACGTATATTGAATATTATACGTTTGTGGGAATTTGGTATACGTTTCAGTTGAAGTAAACGTGCATGGAAATAATTTAAATATTTGACACTAAGTATTTGTAACCATTTGTGATGTTTGTGGTATGAATTCGTTGGTGACGTTTATAATATAATAGATAATTTAGAGGTAAAAGTTTTTGGATATTTTATTTATTTTATACGTGGAAATGTTCATCTTTGGAAAGGGTATATACTTTTCGCTATCAGGTAATTTCATATATGTACTTTTTACCGAGTTTAAAGATTCACAGAATTTTTTTGCATTTTCGTGCAAATTTTTGTAATTTATGAGAAAAAAAGCAGTGTAGATGGATAAAGTTAAGAGTGTGTGCAATGCGATTTTTGTGCAATTCTGGGATGTTTTTTTAAGTAAGAGTAAGTCGACGTGTAAATGGTTTATGTGTATGTGCTATTCTGAAAAATGCGCAAGGAGTTTGGGATTGTGCACTTTTTCCCAATTTTGCAGTTAATATTTGTCATGATTAAGCAGTTTTGTTACATAAAATTTCTAGCATAAGTGTAATTCGGCTAGTAGATTGTTAGAAAAAGTGTTCAATAAATAAAAAGAAAAAAAACATGTCTTTACTTCGTGAAGACAAAATGCCGGCGAAAAAAAATAGAGGATTGCTGTAGCAGAGTTGGTCGCCAAATTTTCGACAAAAAATCGCCAAGTTACCATAATCCAAAGATCAACCAAATATTGCAAGTTGTTCGTTTTCAACCAATCAGCTATCAGCTTTCGAATGCTATCAGCTTGTTTGTAATGACGAACCAGTTTCCCCCTGTGTTAACCCCAAAGCGATCTATGGTGATTGGCTGTTGTGACAAAGCAGAAGAATTGTTCCAAACAGTTGTTCTTCCGAAACAAAACGACGTGTGATAGCAGCCTAAGAGCCGCACGTTTGAATTCAGGAATGTTCAAGAGCCGCATCTAGATTTTCTAAAAGCCACAAGTTCATATTTACATGATTGTACAAGTAGTGGAAGAGGTTTTAAATAGAAAAGAAATCCCTGATAACTTTGTAAAAAGAGTCTAAACTAATTAATTACTTTCTTTTAAACACTGAATAGTTTTAGTTTACCATATTTCATTCATATATTTTATATGCATGAGCCGCACTTTGGCCACCCCTGCTGTATGCGTTCTTTTTGTTGTAATCCAA